AATAATGCCACCTACACGGCGAAAGAGTCTTCCTATACGGTCACCCAAAGAAGATATGAAGAAGAGAGATAGAGACAGCAAGAGACACGAGCGTGAAGAAGAAGAATCATCTAGGTATGTCTGTTTGAATTTATTTTTGTTTAGTCCTGGCAATTTCTTCTAATTCCCGAGTTGTTGAAACAAAATAAAATACTATGTCATTCTGATTTCTTACAGGCCAATGCGCTGTTCTTCTGGTGCTAAGCCAATGACTCGTAATAGGGCCACACAGCATATGAGAAGTCCCCTGAATCCTGAAAAAATTAGCGAAACACTCACTAAAGCTGAAACTTCTGCTGTAAGTTTTCACTAGTTTTGTTTGCTTTCGTCATGTCTTTGATGTTTTTTTACAATTTTGGCTGCCTGAAAATAGGCCTCTGGAGGGCCGGGAAAGAAGAGGGCTTATACTGTGATGAATGATAATACTCCTCCAGTTAGAAGTAAGCCAGCTAGGGTATCAAAAGCAAAGGTGGTGAATGAGACAATATTCTCTGAAGATGATGCGTTAGTAATACTTCAAGAGATTTACAGCTTTTACAAGACTTCTGGCGATCCTAAGGAAAACTTTAAAAAGGATATGTCTTCTTCTGGTGACCTGTCTGGCTTTTGTAACCATTTGAAGCCAAAGATTATGCGCAAACCTTCTATCGCCCAAGTCAAAAATAAGATTTATAACTTGAGGAATTCACTTGCAAACGTTTCCAATTTTGTTGTTACGGCAGAAGGTGGACTAGACATGGTTGTGATTCATAAACGCTTCCAATTGTGGAAGCAGATTTGGGGAGCTGGTGGTCTTCTAGACGAGCAGGACCCACATGATGAGGATGAGCTTTTTAAAAATGATTTGTGTTTAAACTGTTTAGGATTGTACTAATGGTCTCTAAAACGTTTTGTACGTGCAGCGTGATACAGAGAATGTTCCTCAGCGAGGAACAGCTGATGTGAATGCTGACGACGAAGGAGAAAATCAACATCAAACTACTGGTGTTGATATTGATGAGGTAAGAAAGATACTGCTGATGATGGTGTGATACAAAACAACAATTAACTTATAATGAGTTGTACTTGCAGCTTCATACAGATGATGTTGTAAATCAAACTACTGATAATTTATTTTTAAAGTTAGTAAAAAAATATTTTGTAAATTGTATCTCCTTATAAAATATTTATTTATATTATAGTTTATAATTGTTATTAAGTAACGGTATTCCACGAGACAATTATTAATAAACTGAGGATTTAAACCGTATTAAAGCAGTATATAAATATTGATTCAAATTCGTCCGCCATATAAACCCGTTACGAAATATAACTCGTTCCGTAATTTCTTAACCCGTCCCGTGATTTCTTTTTATTTTAAAGTTTAATGATTATTTATTATATAAAAGTTTACAAATCATATCATTCTCTAAGACATTTATATTTTAATAAACTGAAGATTTAATATATATTAAAGAGGTATGTTAATGATATTTTAAAATTTTATAAATATTGTTATTAAGTAACATTATACCACAGGATAATTTTTGGTTTTATACAATCTTTTCTAAATGAGACTGATTTAGTATGTCTAATATTGGTGGTATTAAAAAAAATAAGGATTTAATCCGTATTGAAGCGGCAGATTAATGATATTTTAATCTTTTTATTATTGTTGATTCAAAAACCCGTCCCGCCAAATCCGTCCGGCCAAAAACTCATTTATTTATTAATGTTGATCTTATTTATGATATGATTTTAAATCATTGTCTAAATATTTTAATCGATGTAGAAGGTTGAACACACATTTTCGTCAATTGGATAATATATGTCCGTTTTTTAAATTTTGAATCACAGTATATGCAGAAAAAAATTGATTTTTAATTTTTACTTTATGGATTATATGATGATTCAAAACAGTTAAAAACAAATCTAACAAATATGATAAGAGAATCATAATTCTAAATCTTAATCAAATCTTCTAAAGATCTAAAATTATTAAATATGGAATATCCGGTGTATGCAGCAGAAATAGAGCTATTACCAGAGACATAGAAGATATTCTTCGTAATCTTAATCGTGTTGTCAATGCCATCACTATCTCCATCTTCGCTAGAGTCATGCAACTCCATCTCAACGCCCTCATGCAGCTCCTCATCATCACTAACCAACAGATTCTCATTTGATGGATGCAGCTCCTCATCATACATCTCCATCTCAACGCCCTCATGCCCTCATCATCACTACCCAACAGATTCTCATTTGATGGATGCAGCTCCTCATCATCACTACCCAACAGATTCTCATTTGATGGACGCAGCTCCTCATCATCACTACCCAACAGATTCTCATTTGATAGCATAAACAAGTTTTCAGAAGGGAAAGAAAAGCGACTTCCCTTCGAAAAAAAATTTCTGAGACCCACCCAATCCTTGATACAAGATTCGGGAATTTCCTTTTCCATGTAAGAGGTTCCAAACCATGGTTCATCTTGACAAACTGAAAATAGAAGAAAACAAATACATATATATAGCATTCAGAAATATTGTGGAAATATATAGCATTCAGAAAAATTATACCTTCTTTTTCCGGTAATGTCTTTACAAGCCAATAGATCCTCATATTCGCAGGAGTAAAATGTTCTTTTAGAAAGAAATCGATCTCACTATGATCACATGTAGGATCAGAAAAACATTGACTCAAAGCATGATCAGCATCACACCAGAGCATGTTAGCTGTTCAAAACCATTTAAACAGTTAAATGGAACATATATTAACAAATAGAGTTCATTATGAAGTATATCAATTATAATGTATCAAACCTGACAGACGATCAGCAAACCCAAGTAAAGAATCAATCAACCGGCCATCACTGTGTAGAAAACGGAATCTCATATCTTGTAAATCCTTTTGTTCTTTCATGAGATATGGAGGAGGAGTGTTACAGGCTAAGAAAACCGAGATACTCGTATACATGATTGATGAGTACATATTCCTGTCATTTAACAAAAGAAAATAATGATGAGGAAGAAATAACATATGTACATACATAATAAACAGGGGCTTAAGAGTATATCTGTTCCAAACCTTCGTTGGTGAGTTCCAACACCAGTATAAACAGTTGCCCAAAAGAGGTGGAAGAGCAAGCTGAGGGGTCTTCATCATCAGCTGAAAAACCGTTTTTTCCACCAGTATAAACCTCCAACGACCAAATCAATCCTTTTTCCTTCAAAAAGAAGGACAAGGATCATTCTCTCTCTGCAAAAAAAGAAAGGAACACCTTGACTGGTTCAAAACCTACCAAAATAATCAACTCCCAAACCATAAAAAATATTTCTTTACCTTCGGAGAATAGTTGCATAACATATTTTGCGGCCTTGTTTTGTTGATGGGATTCCCGAGGAATTCTCCAAGTAATCATCACTCTCTGATTATTCTCAACAGATTGAAGGAAATAAGTTTACCCGAGTCCCATTGTCGGCTGATTTCTGGTGTATACGGAGATATTCCTTTAGGAATATCCCTAAAAAATTCAGTCACCGAAGACTGAATTTTATCTAAGTCGCCTGCAATTGAGATAGACAAAGTTTAGATCAAAATCAAGAAGATACTTGGAAAAAAAAAACAAAAGCATCATTACCTGATCCTGATCCTAGGACAATCACAAGGATCATTGAAGAAGCTCGATAATGAGTATTGAAAAAGTCCAATGCTGATTCTCGGAGAGAAGCAAGGGGAACTTTGGTGAGAGTAAATCTGTTGCCCCAAGAAAAACATTTGAAGGGATGATCCTCATAAGATGTGTGAGCAAGGATTTGATCAAGTTGATCAGCATCACTGTACTTGATCAAGAGAAATTCTGAAGCCAAAAACAAAAACAAAAACAAAAAACAAAGTATATAACTCGGACATATTCGTCGCATTTGGATTAATTGATTGAATACGGTTTGTAGAGTATTGGTACCAGAATCCATGATATCGATCTCATGTTCCAACCTCTCTGTTTCCATGAGAGGATTGATGAAAAGGTGGGAAAACCTGTCACACACAAATTTTTCTGGTGAGAAAATATACATACTTACAGGAGGGTTGAATTAATTGAACTGACAAAAAAAAACCTACCTATCAAGAGCATCATGAAAGTGTTCTGTATCGACTTCAAAGCTGAATGTTGTATGATCAAATTCAGTATGGGCATTAGTATTGCCATCATACTTAGCCAGATAATCTTGTAGCTGCAATACAAAGTGAAATGAAATTTAGAAAAAACAACGAGATTAAGAACAACATTTAAATCATTGAATGTTGAATTTACTTACCTCATTTTCGCCCCTGAATTTTTGAGAACCGCAAAAAAGCATGTGTTCGATTACATGCGCGAGCCCTGGAATCTCGGGAGGATCTGCGAAGGAACCGACTCGAACAGTCATCGAAGCCGATGAGTCATCTACGTCTTCGCCGCAGCTAAATACATAGACCTTAAGCCCATTCTCCAGGGTGAAAGATTTGCTAGGTCTACCGGGATCAGCTATTCTTTGTCTCTTGAAATCGTCATCAGAATCGTCATCAGAAGATCTACTTCTCTTTGGGTAATCCATGATAAACGTCCTGCAAAAACAAATAAATGAACAATTTTAGATGAGAAGATATAGTGAACCACTAAAAATATGAAGAACTAATTTATCAATACTTCAGCAAATATAACCGATACGATTCACTAAGGCACAATAAAAATTAATGGAAGTAGGCA